TGGGCACCCCCAGGTAATAACCTGGCCAGTTAAACACCTGGCCTCATTTGCTCCTCTTTTCTCAGGGATGATAGTCTTGAGCTGCCCAGGGTCCAGTATATAAAAACTGTAGTTTCTCATATTTTCCCTCAAGTTTCTTTGCAACTTAAGGAACACTGGTGAATCTCCATCCCACAAATCACAGTCAGATGCAGAAATCCTAATGTATTGTGTATTGTCTTTATAAAGCTTTTTTAGTACAATGTTTGAAATTTTAGGGGTTTTTTTCAGCTAAATCTATTTTTATGTATGAGACAAGAATACAACAAATACTGGTACTTTTTTCCTTGTAGATCATCAGTGGTAAAAGAACCAATTATTAAAAGAACCAACAGGATTTCCTGTTGTCCTTGATATGCAATTTTATTATTAATCAAAGATCCATACACACACACACACACACACACACACACACACACACCCCACATGATTTACAGGCTAGTTTGGTTAAACAGTTGACAAGGCTGTTTAAGCAGAAATTCACAAGTAAGCGGAGTACCTTGGGTGACATATGTCCCCTATAGCCATCGTCTTCTTCGTCCTAACCAGTAAGCTCCTACCAGTGCAGTCCTACATTATGTTAAATTTTTGCCCGTAATATCCAAACCAACTCATACTAAAATTACTGCTAAGTAAAACTCTTTCTTCTTCCCACTAAAGTGTTATTAAACTGAATGGTCCCCTACCTAGCCCTTGTTCAGTTGGCCACTTGTAAAACACTGTCTGTGTGTGTTGTATTTCATTATGAAACAGTGGAAACAGAAGAACATATGCATGAGAAGGCTCATTTACATAATATATATGAGTTAATGATTTACACACTTATTTTTAAAGATATGAAGATAACGTTATGACAAGGTTTATGGAAGTCTAAGGCCTAACCATGTGTGAACTTGAGTCCTCCTACATGGGTTAACTTTGCACAATGGATTCTACAATATAAACTATAACCAATGAATGATTCCTTGGTTTCATTGTATGTTTTAACACTTATTTTCTCATTTATACTTCACAATTCATTTGCTTTACTCTAAGAATAAAACGTTCTCCTTGGTCCTACTCCAATTCTGAAATTATTCTTGATGATTTGATTTATGGAATAAAAAAAAATTACAGTTTATTTGCCATATTTACTTTTATGACTATTCTTTTCTCTACATACATATGTGATTTTTAGATTAATCCATTTAATCTAAGATTTCAATGAGAGAGTTATGGATGTGGAATTATGAATGTTACTAGAATAGTTTTGAGGAAGATGGAGCAAGAAAGTCACAAAAACAAATTATGCTACTAAAAAAGTAAATCATGCTTAAATTAAGACAAAACAAGATTAAAGTCATCACTCAACTCACACATAAGCCCCAAATCAAAGACTGAGGACATACTCAAACAACTTTTAAATTTTTGCTTGTCTGTGTTAAGATGTGGCATCAATCGCAGAATATTTCTTAGGCTCTGCTTAGGTGATAAGAATTACATCCCGTCCTGTAAATCTCAGACATCAATGTCTTCCTTCAAACCCACAGTCATAATCTGGGCTCTGTGAAGTAGCACCAGAAGTCCAGCAAGTACAACAAAAGAGTCTGTCAGGAGGCCGTCTAGAAGCCAGGTGCCATATGTCAGCAGACTCTCCAAATGCTCGTCTTAATCTAGGTTCTCAATATTGTTGGCAGCTACATGAAACAGTTTAAAAGTTTCACTCTGCTAGCCGTGGAAAGTCAGCAGAACATTGTAGAAAATAAGAATTATTTTGCGAAGAAGAAATCACAGCGGATTAATTCAACAGTGTTCAGAGAGAGACTTTCAAATGTTACTGGTAACGTGCAAAACCGAAGCAGACAAAGCCAAGCCAGATTCTCCAAGTTGATGTTTACCGATGCACAGAATTGCTTCTGGAAGCTCTAAGAATGATTTCAGACCACTAGGGTAACCTTAAGTAAATGACTGCTCCAGTGCTCCTGGATCATTTAGTTCACTAAAGCAGTAAACTATCGCAAGCCTGAAGTTCCTAAACTGTTTCTGAATAACTGCAGCCTGTAGCAAGCCAGCAGGATTCTTTGTCCTCTATCTTTTCCCTTTCCTGCCTGGTTTCATGCCTACCCAAATGCCCTAAAAAACTAGCATTCACATTTGCCAAACATTTGAACATACAATTCTGCCTAATTTAGCCCAGTTAGTGCTCGAGTTCTTACTATTAGACTACATATAACAAAGTGGGCACATTCCATGAAAACAAACTGCCAATGGTGCCAACATCTGCAATTATATGAAAAAAAAATTCATGGTTACTACTGCAGAGTAGAGCCCCTAGGAATTTTCTGATGGGCAGCATAAAAACACGCTATGTCCTCCTGGCCTTCATCTACTATCCACACACACTCTTACAATCACTCACTTCTACCTCATTATCCCATGCAGCAAAAATATTAAAAATGGTTCACAGGATAACAAGTACTCTTTATGCAAGTGATTTGCATCTTTGAGTTTGATTACAGTCAGGCAGGCTTCTGCGTTAGCAGAGCATGTCAGGGCTGGAAGCACCTTCACTATGTGGGGTTAGGTTGGTCAGAAAGGAAGAGGGGAGAACAGCATGTCTCTTAGCATCTCTCCGCTCTGCCGCAAGCAGACTTCTAACCCAGCAATGGGGAAAATGTCTGCAAATTAGTTGTGCAAATACTGAGGAAAAGCTAATAACTCCCCACACATATTTTTAACTTAGGAATTAGCACTAAAAATGTAACGACGGCTTTTGTACCCTCAACCCCTGCTCGTGGATATCAGTGAAATTCAGTATTTTCAAGCAGATGCACTGGTATGCTGATCAAATATGTCTGTCAGATTCTGGCAGTGGCTCTGACTCGAAGAGCAATTACTGGTGAAGACTTTAGCCTCAACTATTTAGAAAAGTGGCTTTATTGAATATACAAACAAGGCCCTGCAATTTTCCATTTCCTTAGCAAGATATTAAATCCACCAAGCTAAGTGTGTCCTCATGACTATAATTTACATGATGTGACATGACAGTTAAGATGTACTGGAGTAATTTCTGAGAGCTTGCAGTATTATTGTAGTATCAAAAATTTATGTGGTTCACTTATTAAGGCAAATTGTCTCATTCATATTGAGACGTCTGACAGTAAACCACCCAGGGCTTCCCCATTACATTAAAAAATATCTTCCTCACTCAAATGCTTTGCACACCTTGTTGCCGTGGTTTTGCTCGCCAAATGGAAACTGGAGCAAGGAATGCATGGCTTTTTGATGTGAAAAATGATCTGCAGCAGAATCTGGAGCACTTTCTTGTGGATGGTTATCAGACACAGTTCAGATCGGATGAGGGAAGTTATCTTGGGGAAAATACAGTTTGTCCACATTCTTGGCTCTGATGCTATTGAATATCTCATTTGTTTGCCTTCCTTCTGTTGCTTTGATTTTCAGCCAACAGAAAGAAAAAGCAAATGACCAAAGAGGAAATGATGGAAAATATGGCGATTTTTATTATTATTTATCTCCAAATAAATTTTACCATTGCATAAAAAATAAAATTTCTGAAACTCAGCTACTTTTGACCCAAGTCTCTTGGAACTCTTCTGAGGAGTAAAATAAAATTAAAAACCTGACCGTTTAATTTTAGGGTTTTTCTTGGCAATTTTAAGCAGGAGAAATTCAAGCCATATGTTCTATTTTATTCTTGTTGGGAATATAGGAGGTTCCTAAATAGGATAGGATAAAATGATGTCTTGTAAAGGGCCTTGCAAATAAAAGTTTAATTAGATTTTTATTGCAGCTATTGAATTTTATGCAACATATGCTGTCTCTTTCAAAATACATGTTCAATGAAGACCTGTTTTGTTCATTTACACATTTTAGTAATAGCATTGAGAAGCCTGTTAAAAATAAGAACCTCCCCACGAGTTAAAATTTTTCAACCAATTAAAGCTACCAGTTCCTATTTACTGAGAATATGAGACACAGTACTAAGTTTTTCTATTTCAATGCTTAAATGCAAGAACCAATAATCATGAATGCATTTTATTTGTTTAATCAATGAGGATTACTTCAAAAATAATGTTTTATTCTGGATTTAATGAGCATCAACTCACTAAGAAATGTTTTTTCACGGGAGCTTCTGTTGTAACAAGGTTATTTTAACTATCAACCAATGCCCAACAAGCAAGTACTTACAGAATTAAAACAATGAAGTAGTTTCCGGCCAATGATTAGGAAAAGTAAAATTCTAAATGCCAAGGTAGCTATCTAGAGAGAGATAACCCAGAACAGGAAAAAACAAAAACAGAAACAGCCTGCCTTTCTGAAGCTAGTACATTTGTTTGTCTGTATATATTTTTGTGCACATGTGAGCACGCTTTACAGCAAGCACTCACAGCCAGGACGGTTCTCCATCTGAGCTGTAGGAAATATGTTGTTTACACAGCCTCATGGCAGGCCTAAAGTAGTTAGATAATAAATTTCTTTTCTAATTAACATTCATACCAGGTAGAAGAAAAGGTAGCGCTGTTGCATATCACTCTTGAAATGAAATAGAAACAGATGAGAAAGATTTCAGTAATATTTCATCATGAACCACTTCATAAAACAGCTATTTTCAAACAGATGCCATTTTCCCAATATCTACAACATCGTCTACAAAATACCTCAGTGTTTCCATCCGTCCGTCCATCCACCCACCCACCCATGCTTCCTTCCTTCCTTAGATCCATTTAAAAAGCTTAAATAGAACTTCAATTATATTAAAAACTGGAGTTTGTGGCATATTAATGTTGCTTGTGTGACGTGGCGTGGGAGAACACTCCAACTTGAAGTGACTCAGTTGGTCCTTAGATCCAACACAGTGAGTGTAATCTGTCGTCTTTCTTTAAAGAAATGCCAAGTGAAACGTACTCTCGTCAGCTGTCAGTGCAAGCACAGCAGCAGAAGTGTGCGCCATACAGACTTACTTTGTTTCCCAAATATGGGGCTGGTGCGCTCCAGTAGTAGCTGTCTGGCAAGGCTCGCCGGGCCTCCACGGTGCTGATGCTGATCTGCTCAGGCGACCCAGAGCTGTCGTGGTGGGGGGCCACTCGGACACGGCCGGAGAGGTCAGTCAAATACCAGCCACTCATGTCTTGTATCTTACAGAAAACACACAACAGTCATTGAAATCCACCAGCCATTTTCTCTTTCATATTCCTTGTATTTTACAGATAAGACTATAAACACTTCAATATGAATATCATAAAACTGATGCACTCAGAGAGTCTCCTGTGGTTTGCTTCATTCTTCCTGATATTTCAGGGAGTTTGGATGGTGCTTACTGAACCTATATTTTTTTCAAACTTGCAATTCCAGGTACTGCTTTTTCTTTTGAAAACAAATTCATTCACAGTTACATAATAGCTGTAACAGTATACAATGCACCACATAGTTGGACTTTATGAGTTTTGTATTTTTTACCAGATGAAATTTCTTATTGCTTAAGAAAATAAAATATTTCAAAAGGGTTACACGTGTATTTTTAAAACAGGAGAAGAAAAAAAAACTATACAAGTTCATGAGAGCTGGCTTTTAATTTAGTATTTCTTCCCCTCCAAATTTTTAAAATTTTTATTTTGAGAATTAAGGATATTTGACTCCATCAATCTGTTGCTATGACAACACCTTGTAGTTGTGTGTGTACATCTTCCCATACACTTAGAAGTACTCTGGGAACTCATGGCCTAGATTTCTGGCCCAGAAAAGCAAGGAACCTTAAAGGAAAAATGATAGAGTATGTGATTTTCTTTTCCATTGTTTCCACCAGACACAGGCAGACAGCTACACTTTGAGTTTAAACACTGTTTACCGAGAATTCAGGCTCTTGGCTACCAACATGTTGGACTGCTTGGCGCTATAAGAGAAGGGGGCAATGGCTACAATGTCAGGATGAAATTTTACTTTTAAATCTCTTCAGATAGAGATTATTTGATTTTGCTTATTCCAGTTCTGTGAAATCGCTAAAACTGCTTTGGCCAGAGAGAAAAAATAGAGACCAGTTATAAACTCATTGGTTTGGAAAACAACAGGCAACAACTTCTCTCATTTTCCCTTTCCACCATCAACCTTCAGATGTTCTAAGGCAGTGGAATGCAGTGGACACTAAGCTTGAATGTCTGCAGTTCTGTCCCGTGGCTAGCTGCAAAACCTTGTTGTATCAATGGCACTGGTAGGAGGATGGGTGGGACAGTGTAGAAAATGAAGAAGTTCGGAACTAGACGATCATTTCTTGTTGATTCTACAAAGTCTGCTTTGACAATGATGCACTTGATAATGTGTACTCAAATTTAGACATGAGGGTATATCAAAAACTACTCATAACTTTCCAAACAACTGAATACAATACAGGAAGAAAATATTTAGTATTTGTATTTTAGATTAATCGGTTAGCCGATTAATGATAAAACAAAGAAGTGTTTGGGAGATAGTTTATTAAAATAGCATTTATTATAAAACAGGTCTGACCATCTCACCACTACTGCTTAAAAATCCATCAATAACTCTAACAAGACTATGAAGGTCCCATTTTCATCTAAATTCTCTTGTAGACAGAGACAAACTGCTGCCTGCAGGGAGATGCCGTGAAGCACGTGGAAGGCAGTAGAGGTGGACAGATGAGCGAGTTTATGTTAGAAGAAGACAAACCCGGTTACTGCTAAGTAGTTTTCAACCATGTCAAACCTGTGGCTTGCCTTTTTGTCTTCTAGTTTTTAATATTTTTTGAGTGCAAAGAATTTGTCTTGGGCTGCATAAAAATATATATATATATATATCGCAGTCAACACATACATAGGTATAACAAAACTCCCTTTATTTTTTGTATGATATTATAACATTAAAAGAGATGATTAAAAACATGGAAAGAAAAAGAAAGAACAAACAAAGGAAGAAAGATGATAAGAAAGTAAGAATGAAGGAAGAAAAGAGAAAGTGAGAGAGAAGGAGGGAGAGAAAATAGGTGGCAAGTTGTCTATGACTAGTTTAGGTAATAATTTTTAAAATTTTAAATTAACTAAAAGTGAAGGGATCATCCAAACTTATTGCCTTTTTTATTGCCACTTTTAATAGTGAGAAGGCCTAAAAAGCATTAAATAATAACAAAAAGCTGATGGATAATATGAACTGTATAGAATAATGACAAAGGAATTTTTCTAAATTGTATACAAGATATATAAACGAATAGAAAATATAATGTTTATGTTATAATGTCATGCTCTTTCTATCATATACTGTCTTCTGGGGATTAAAACAAATCCCACTATTGTTTCATGTACTCATTGTGGAGATTGAAAAGGGCAGTGTCTACTGATTCTAAGAGTTTGGTTACCAATGACAAAGCTTGAAATGAAGACACAGTGATAGTATATGAAGACAAGCCTATCAGCTTTTCTTCAAAAACTTAAGGAGCTCAATACAATATACTTTAAAAAATCTTACAAAGAACAAAGGCAGCAGCAAAGAAGAGCTATGGAGCAGCACAGGAGATTAAAGGGCAGGGCACTCCTTACATTGCCATAGGTCCAGTAGGCACTCTGACATCTGTTTGAAACTCCTGAACAGAAACACTCATCGCAGCCTTTTGGATTATCCTCTTGCAAATTGAAGAAGCCAGATTTGCAATGACTGCAGTCTCCTCCTTCAACATTCTCCTGTAAAGAAAGAGGGGCATTAGCAACAAGAAGAGAGGTAGAGAGGTGCGCTCTGTCTGGTTTAGATCTAAAATGGCCTCCAAATCCCCAATGGTCTGGAAGCTTAGAGCCGACTTGCTGCTGGGTGGTGGCGTCTGGTCTGAAGAGGCAGGTCACTGTGGATGTGACCCGGAAGGACTATTGCCCTTCCTGGCTCCTCCCTTTTTCTGCGAGCAGCTTTCCCTCCACCAGGCCATCTCTGCTGCTGCCATGCTGCCTCAGAGCCAGGAGAGCATGGACTGAAACCTCTACAAACTATGAGGCAGAATAAACCTTTCCTCCTTTAAACAGGAAGTGTTGGATAATATAAGGAAGAGACTAAAATACCTTCACAATTACGAGTTTCGTGTATGTCTGTGTAAGGAAAATGGTAACTGTACCTTCTTCATTTTACCTTCTCAATAAAGTATGATATTATTTTTAAACACTTGCTCATGAACTTGTTAAGCTGTCTACCCTTCCTAACCAAACTGAGGTGAAAGCTTATTTGATGTTAATCTACTGTACTCAGAGTTAGGATTTTGAGCTTCATGTATGGTAAGCATGTAGAGTCACTGTCATGATAAAATACAAGAATATGCTGGTCTGACTAGCATGAAGCCAGGTGAGTCCTTTGTTCCCTGTTACTGAGAAATTTCATCCTAAAACATATAACTTATGCTTACATTTCATTGGAATGATACCACTGTGAAACCTTTTTCATAATACAGATTAAAAATGCATGTACATGAGGCAAATGCTAATTTGACATACAGAGAAACTGAGGAAATACAGTATTTCTCTGATCAAACTAAGTAGGGAAGGAGGAAAGCTTTCCTTGGTTAACAGTTAACAGGGCTTCCTTGAACACACTGGTCCAGCCAGTCAGATAGAGATAAAATGGGGAAAATTTATTCCTGTTCACTGCCTGCTCTCCCGGCAATCTCTGTGACCCCAGCCTCAGCGCTCTGAGTGCGGTTTGCATGTAGACTCATCCAGCAAGAGCTGACTGCATAATGCACAACTGGGAAGGGTGTAATCTCCCAATTTAAAGTCTGGCTGATCTCCACCGACACTGCCAAGTGAATGCTCCCCGAGGTCCAGAAAACAGATTTTTGATGTCATCTAAAATGCATTTACTCCACATTTCCTCTCAGGCTTGGATTTCCTTTACTATTTCAATCTTAAAGCTTTCCTTTCCTTGGAGAACTAATTTTCCTCTCACCCATGTTTCTACAGCTCCCTGATCTCCTTTTGCAATACTGGTGGCTCAATGCAGGGCTGTCCCAGAGCTGTATCCCACCCTCCTTGATTTTATTTTGAGACTGTCTCACTAAGTTACCAAGGTGAGTCTCCAATTTGGGATCCTCCTGCCTCAGCCACCCAAGTAATGGGATTATAGTACACTGTCCGTTATATATCAGTTTAGTAAAACCACTAAAACATATGACTAGGTTTTTACAGATTATTCTCTTCAGTCTTATAGCATAATCTGTCCAGAGGATGAAATCCTATTTTTACATTAGCAGAAAATAAAAGAGGTTCCTCATACAACATTGAGCATTACCTTCACAGAAGTTCATTATGATTAAATGAACCTCTCAGTGGTAATGATCTTTATGCATACCAAAGTGCTATGCACAAGGTAGATGCTCAGTAAAAATGGTTTTAGTAAGCAAGGATTGGGAAAAATCGTAGGCTTGATAAAATCTGAGACCATTTAGGTAAAAACAGAAAAGAGAAAATGGCACAAAATAAGGACACATTTATAAGAATAAATAAAGAGGTCTTTAGATTCAAGGGAACTTGTTTAAAATTAACTTTTTGGCTCTTAATTTTCATGACTCACCTTCACTGGTGAGGGTGCTTAACAAGGAGCTGCCTCTTGCCCTGTTTTACGAGTTAAACATTAGACCTGATTTGTACACAAACTGAAGTCCCACTCCTAACATTCTTGCCAGTTTTAATTTCTAAGGTTGATTTCAGATATTGTGAGGTGATAGATGTCAGCAAAACTAAACATTTAAAACTGCGTGGAGAGATAAATCCCTAAAGTATTGAAGGGAGAACCTCCCAAGGGGTACACAGGCAGGGTATTGAAACACATTTATGATTAAGCTTGTCCTGTAGAGAACATTGTGCTGTCATTCCAGACACCACGTCCTTTTGTACTTGTTTCAATCTACTGTTCCTTTAGTCTAATTTGAAAGCAAATAACACCACTTTTCTGAGATTCAGACTGAGTTCAGCCACAGGAAATTTTAGATATTAGTTATATCTTATTTAGCTCTATCAGCCTGGTAATATGACCCTTAAAATTATGATTAAATAATTGCATATTCAATTTAACTTAATACCCTGCAGTACAGCACATTAGGGTAATTCTAGTAAACTACTAGTTCTACTGTAAAAGATGAATAGGTCCACGGCTCTGTCTTCAAAGATACTTGGATTTTTTTAAAAAATGCACTCACAATTGACTATAAGGCAAGGTAGAACTGGTAAGTAGATTCCAGAAGATAATTAAGTCATGGGAACATCAGAAAGTGCTGATTACTGCTATGAAGGATTCAGGAGGCTTTACAGCAGGAGTAGAGTTTCACCTCAACTTTGGAGCACGGTTTAAAAAGTCAGTTTGTTGGCAGAGATAGAATGAGAGCCCATGCTACCAAAGATATTTGGGGACAAGAGTTAATAGAAAAAAAGGAAAGGTCCATTTATTATTTATTCTTTCAAATAAGTGCCCTGAATACTTTTTACTTGCTAGTAACATTACTTAACACTAGCAACCCGGCATCCCTACCCTGTTATAACAGATACTCAAGGTTGTCTTAAGAGACAGGAATCTTATCCCCCAGAAATTGTTAAGTTGTTACTAGGCATCCAGCAGGAAATAAATCAACAGAACTATCTTTGAGATGCGACAGAAGCAGGTAAAATGACTGTGAAACGTGAGAGAGCGGAGCATAAAACTCTTTCATTTGTACATGATGCAGTGTTGGGTTAAATCAACAGTCTCGGGGTGCTTAAATCCTGAAAACGACAATGAATACGTCACAGGGAGGCACCAAGTAAACCCTTAGAATATCCTGCCTGGTAGGACTGTCTTTGTACCCTGCAGCATGGGGTCACATCTGGCATTTTGACACTGCAGTAAACACCTTTTTATTTAATTGAAGGGGAGGGGCCCTGTTACATCCGTCTGAACTCTGGGGTATGGGAGTCTGCGAAGTTAAGGTTTGTTAAATAAGCTTTCCATATCTATATAACAGTCCCCCAGTATCCAGCCTTGACGCTGCAACTTGGGTGAGCTTCCCAAGTTAGCAATCTAGGGGAGCACATGATGTGCGGAGAGTTCTGTGCTCTGCACGCCTTCACTGAAGAGGGTAACGCGGGTTTGCGCTTTGTTTCCCCTGGACTTTTTCTGGAGCATCTCTGGCTTTAATGATTTCAATTTGTAATCTTTCATGTAATAAATGGAAACATAAATAAAACAGCGTCTCTGAGCTCTGTGCAGCATGCTAGCCAAGCGCTGACCCCGAGGAAACCGACTCAGCTGGATACGATGATAGCGCATCTGTACTTTGGAGAACATGGTAGCGAGGTGGTAGCTTTGTGTTGTTACTGTGACAAACTCTGAACCAATATATTTTAAACCCCATTGCAAGTCTTCAAGCTAACCTGCTTTGTCTTCCCAGGCCCGATGCACTTCAATCCTGTTCATAAACCATTATCATCACTCAAAACGTCCTCATCCAGTGGACCTGGCTGCGTGTCTGTGTAGTGCCACAACTTTAAGTTTACACACTCCCCCTCTTTTTTCTGTTCTTTTTTATTGGCAGTGCCTCCCTTTCTAGTTCAGGGTGGCCCTGAACTTACTATGTAGCCCAGGCTGGTCTCAAACTCGTGGCAATCCTACTGCCTCAGCCTCCCGAGTGTTGGGGTTATAGGAGTGCATCACCATGCCCGGCTTTACAGTCCCACTTTTTATTCTTCAGTCTGTACCATGCTTTTGCTTTTGTTGGCTGTAGTTCCTGCTGAATTAAATTTGGCTCAAGGGTGTTTCTCTACCACGAGTCTCTGCAAAATGAACTGCAACCTAACATTTTTTCAGAAGGTTGAAAACTGAATTTCGAAGTCTGTTTATTATAACAGAAATTCAGGTCTCAGCCAATCACAAACAGCTGAGCTTTAGCCAATCGATTCACCAGGCCATCTACAGAGAAGACAGATGTTTAGATTTAACCACTCAAGCTATTTTTATTTTATTTTTGTTTTCGTCTACTCACACTTACTGCCTACTTGAGAGCAGAGGTCCCTGAATTTCTTCTGGTTCTGAGTGCTGTCTGATTCACGAATTTTTCTTTGTTTGAAGACACAGAGTTAAATTTAATTTATCAAGAGCTTTTCTTTTAGTGGTCCTTATCAGACTGAGGTAGATTCACTCCACTCCAAATGGCTAGGCTTTGATTTTTCTAAGGCTTTACTGAAGATAAATTTAAAACAACTAAACAGTAAATAAGGTGGATATAAGTTATACTTATAAATCATTATTTATGGCATACTTAAAGGGCCTTTTGAGGTCGATAAGAAGATGAAAAATGAAGGAGGAAAGCTTTTTATTTTTTTTTTAATCTTACCGAGTTTATTGGTACCTTTTAGGTATACAGTACAGTTACATTCATCCTTGGGATCTTGTACCTTTACATGACAGATCTTGGTTCTCATGTTTTCCTCATACCCCTGCCCAAAAGCTTTTTAGCTGACCAGAACTTTTCTTTCATCATACAGAAAACTAACTAGCCATATCAGATTCTATGATTTTTTTCCTTCACTAAACTCCCTCAAGACAGTGTATATGTAGATATATCAGTAATTTCTTATTTCTAAGATTGCATTTTGAAATTTTGCTTTTATAAAAACATAGGTTTAAAATGGTGATTAATAGAGAACACCACAGTCTGATATTTACTGTGTTTTAT